GCCACCCTCCCTTAAGGAGCCTATAATAATCAGTTCTCTGAGCTCCAGACCGCCGCACTCGCCTGAAGAGGATGGGTTTTAGCTCGGGAGTTCGGTGGGCCTCAGGAGGATTTTCAGCCTGCAAGTCTAGGTTGATGGAAGCTAGGATTAGGGGGACTCTTGGGGATATAGACTTTCTCAATAAGGTCCCTTTTAAGAGAGCCAAAAGTAGGGTTCAGAAGGGGTACCCTTTAAGGGGTACCCGGGGTACCCCTAATAATACTACCTAGTTGAAGGCTTCGCAAGAAGACCAGGCGAGTCTCAGACAAGGGAGATCCGACAAGAAATGGCGCATATTCAACTATCGTCCAAAGCCAACCCCCTGAGACACAGGGTCGACCCTAAACCCTAAACCCTAAACCCTAAAAGGACCCTTATAAGGGAACCTGTAAGAGCTAAGGGGGACTTGCGCGTGCATCTTGCGAGAGGCTGCTGCTTAGGATGGGGACTTCCAGGTTTGGGGCTTCAGGGCTTTGAGGCCAAAGAGGTTTAGGGTTTAGGGTTTAGGGTTTAGGGCTTTGGGTTTAGGCTTTGAGGCCAAAGAGGTTTAGGGTTTAGGGTTTAGGGTTTAGGGTTTAGGGTTTAGGGTTTAGGGTTTAGGGTTTAGGGCTTTGGGTTTAGGGTTTAGGGCCAAAGAGCTCTATTAAGGTGTAGGGTCATGGGGTCAGATGTGGATCTTGCTGTTGGTGCTCATGTGGAACATGTTGGGACCGCGGGCTCATCTGGGTAGTTGTCAAAATTATGGTCCCTTTTGGGGTACCCTAAATAATAGGTGCCATATTATAATAAGGACCCAAAAAGGGACCGGAATTTTGACAACCACCCATCTCTAAACCCAACACACGCAAAGAGTCGCCCAAGCCGATGGCGCGCAGAGCATTCCGCAGCTGTGCATTCTTGGCATCCTCGCGGAGAGTGCGCGATTAAAGGGCCTTGAAGCCCAGTACCTTGGCCCAAACAAGTTTAATATACCAAAAAGTTTAAAGTTTACCTACTGGGCTCCTAAGAAGGGGCTTTAGCCACAAGCCTCAGGCAACAGCTTCTCAGCGACCCTGAACCACTTCGGAAACCAGATGAACGCGATGCGAAAAAAAACGAAGAAACTTACAAACCCTGCAAAATCAAAATGAAAGTGCAAATCCCAACCAACCACCAACTCTAAACCCTAAGTCCTAAATCCTCAGCTCTAAAGACCCCAAACAGTGAGTCCTAAACCTGCAACCCAAAGTCTGCTTCAAAGGCGAGTATAGGGGCCTTAATAATTAGAATACAAGTTTGGGGGTACATGGGTTTAGGGTATAGGGTTTAGGGTACTTGGAGGTTCATGGGTAGTTATAAGCTGGGTTCTAAGTAGGGTGGCTATAGTTATAACCCATCTTAGGGGACTTATAACCCTACTTATATCTACCCATGAAGCTCCAAGTAAGGGTTGCTGTGAGAGTTGCTGGTTGCCGTGAGGAATAGTAGAATGGTTGCAAAAAGGCGAGAAGGGCCATTGAAGGGATTCCTTTCAGGCTTCCTGTAAGGGTTCTTACGAACAGCATTGCTGCAAAGGTCCCTAAGGTTACTAAACGTGCTACTATGGTAAGACCTATACTATAAGGTTTCTATAACGTTACGAAATGTCACTAAGACATCAAGCCGGTTTCGGGTTCGGCACACACAAGACAAGGGAAGAGAATGGCTTCGGCTAGATGAGGGTTCTACCAAAGGTCCGGGGCTGTCATGCTGGCTTTCTACGCAGCTTCTAAGGCTTTCATACAGGCTTTGTACTGGCTGCTCCCTGAGCCCATCTCCTTTTCGCACGTGGCATGCGGCTGTGGCTGGAAACCTACCCTCCATTCACAGCCCCAGGTGCGACCAGACGGAACTTGCCCTCGGTGTCCTACTATGTTAAAGTACAAAAAGAGTTGCTACCACGGCTCAAGCAAGGTTCCCTATGAGGGCTACAGAACCCAAAAAGCTTGGAGCTTGTAAAGCAAGGACCAAAAGAATCATGAAACTTGCGTTAAGCGGGGCGAGGCGTCTACAAGGACTCAGGATCGGTATTTCTAACTAAGCGGGCTCCTGCATTAAAGAATGTTGTGGAACGACGGCATGAGACGCTAAACAAGGTAGGATGGTGCGAACTCAGTAAGGCGTAAATGCTAGCTACAGCTCAGCTGGAAGCTAAGGAGCCTTCAAAAATCATAAGCCCGTTGCAACAGCCTTGTTCTACCACCCTAGGCTTCTAGGGAATTTAGGAGTAATCCCAGAGGTCCTGCAGGTTCAGGCTTAGCTCCTAACGCTTCAACTTAAAAGTCATAGCTTTGAACCCCAGGCTTAAGCCGAAACAGTGACAGAATCCTTCTGGAAGTCCTATGCAACAACAGTCATCATGGCAACCCCAGGCCCTTAAGAGCTCACTGAGAGAGAAAGTTCCGAGGTTGACGGTTCTCATGGCTTCCTTGAAGTCTCCGCCCAGCAACCTCCGGGGGGTTGGCGACGCAAACTCAAACATGCTCTGGGTGTGATATTTACGATACGTAACGTACTCTGATAAAACAAAAGGTACTATAATGTACCATAGTATACTAAAGGGGGTGATATACTGTATGCTTTAGTCACGTTCGCGATCTTTTGGGCTTTAGGTGACGCCTTGTTCCTGTGTCACATCCCGGAAATCTTCGCAAGTCCAACAGATGCAGCCCTAGATGTCGCCAACAACCGCAGGAATCCCTAAAGCCTACAAACCTTACGCCGCACACACCCCCGATCCTGTAAACCCTATAAAAAACGAAGCCCTTAGAACCCTTGAAACCCTTTAAAACCCCTGAAACACCGTAAAAAACCCTTGAACCGGGAAAGTCCCTAGACCCTAAACCCTAAACTCTCCCCATGCGTGCCTAGAGCTCCTTTCTCGGGTGGGTCTCAAGACTCTGCTGCAGGAAGCTCGAGGCAGATGCTTCTTCTTCTTCTTCAGCCTGGGCTGCTTGGAGGTTCATGGGTAGTTATAAATAGGATTGTAAGTAGGGTAACTGTAATAATAACCCATATTGGGGGACTTATAACCATACTTATAACTAGCCATGAACCTCCAAGTGGTCGGTGAAGATGCTACCCAAACCAGAACAGTAATGCTGTCATAAAACAACTAGAACCCTGTTCTTCAGTAGCAGTACCTTCTGTACAAAACTTACTTAAGGTCGGGAAATATCTTCGAGACGGGACTTCCTCTCCATCTTCGCGGTCGTCGTCGCCTTCCTGTCCAGCTGCAGGAAAGCTGAAGCTTAGTTGCCGAGTTCATACGCCCCGAACAGCTTAAGCTTTCATTTCTACAGAGAATCATACTGTCCCGAGAAGTGTAAAGTATACTAACTCGGCTACTAAGGAAGAACCTGTCCAACGCATCCACGAACCCCATGAACAAACCAGCCGAAGTTGAATGCATCGACAGATGCTCACATCCGAGTTCCCGAACATCATGGACCCAAGCACCGACTGCAGTACTAACACTGCCTTCGCAGAGTTACACAAAAACACAGAGGCAGCAAAAAACAAACAACAGTACTAATTAAAGACAACAAGAATAACCCTACTGAGCATAAGCGGAGAATTCACGTCGGCAGTAAAAAGCCATGTCATGGCCTCGCTGAAGCGGTCTGTGAAAGGGAAAGGCTCCTCGTGGCATCTTCCGGGCTCTGAGGTTCGTCTCGTAGGGTGCAGGGTTCCTGGTTACTCAAGCCTTTCTCCTCGTTTAAGGGTTACAGAAAGCAACCCTGAACCTAGGGCCTTGAAAGACAAGGGGTCTATACATACAAATAAATAAATAAATATATAT